TTCGGAAGCAGTGATGGTTCCTGCCGGCTCGGGTCAGCCCTCAGCCGAGCAGCCCTGTCCTGTGCGGCCGCAGCACAGTGCCAGGGCTCTGGCAGCCCAGGTATCGTTGTCTGGCGTCTGTAGCGGTCATGCTCAATTATATCAGGAAATGCTGTGAAAAATCGAAGCACGATTCCAGGGTAGTATGTTCTAGCTTTTCCCGGAATTAGTGTTGAAATTGCAGCTATGGAAAGTGAGCAGCCCTGTCCTGTGCGGCCGCAGCACAGTGCCAGTGCTTTGGCAGCCCAGGTATCGTTGTCTGGCGTCTGTAGCGGTCATGCTCAATTATATCAGGAAATGCTGTGAAAAATCGAAGCACGATTCCAGGGTAGTATGTTCTAGCTTTTCCCGGAATTAGTGTTGAAATTGCAGCTATGGAAAGTTGCTTGTATGCTTGGCTGCGTCTTCAGGGAAAGCTGTGACTATCCTTTCCACCTGTGTGAAGTTGCCTATCCCTAAGTTGAATAACAAAGCCTCTGCTAATTTGAATGAGGATGTGGACTAGGGTGATAAGTATCCTCTCCAAATTACATTTGGATTAAGAGCCTTGATAGGCTCTTTAAAACAATACACATTCACCACAGTTTTTGTGTATTCCTCTGAAACAGACCTTGTCACTCCTCTCTCTCTCCCTTTCTGGAGCCCTTTTTTTTCAGTAGTTACAATGAAGCCAGTGTCTCGATGCACTAAATTCGCTAATGGAGCCAATTTAAGAACTTTCTGGGTGATTCTTTTGCACTACAGCTCTGTTCCTTTCATGGCTCTCTTTTTTTTTTTTTTTTTCCTGTTTTAACTGTGTTGCGATTTGAGCCACTGAGATGATTATGCTTTTTAAAAATACCACTTGCATATTTAACCTAGACTATTTCAGTGATCATATCCCATAGTTCAGGTGAGGGGTAGAATATTCTGTAGAATGGAATGGAAGGAATGGAGTGAGAAGCTGTTTTATAAGGTTCCAGAACAGAAATTTTTCTTGAATTTTACCTAGAATGCTTGCATTCTCTCTAGAAAGCTCCTAGATGTAGGTCAGGTATAGGCCAGATCTTCAAGTTTTAGAGTAGTTCCAACTTCCTGGAAGTCCATGTCACCATCTTACTGCAGTGCTGTGTGTGTTTCAAATAGATGATTAGAGGTAAGGTTTGTTGCAGTCAGACAGTTCTGTAGGTCCTCTGTTGTGATTGTATGGCCTGTGCCTCTTGCAGCTGTTCTGTGTGCTTTGGTGGTAATACTGAGAAATGACTGGACAAATATCTTAGTCATGCATTAATTGAAATGCAGCAAGTCTGTGTACTGGTTTAACAGGCAAAATGGCATTAACTACTTTAATCTTTTGAACATGTAATCAATTCTTCCACTTTCATTGACAAAAGGCTTTGCTTTCCTTTTCCTTTCATGTTTAACTCCTGGCAATTTTACTACTTATTAGAAGGTGCTGACTGAAATCTTGTGTGTAAATATTTTTCAATTGAGAAGACTTACTGCAACAGTGTAACTTCTGAAGTAAACTGATCGGTCACTTAGGGATGAAACTTAATGTCAAGCATTTCCCAAGTGTGTCAAACGTGATAACTTTGCAAAAAGCAGTAAAATTACATGCCTCATACCATGGTATTCTTATCTTACAGACCTTAGTTTGGGTGAAGTTCTGCTCACTTGTTTCGGTGGGTGTGTTAGGTATGTAGCTGTCTGAATAATCACAGTTCTCTTTTCCTTAGCAGAGGTTACATAACATGTCATTTAAAGGTAGCAGCATAGCAATCTAGAAGAGTTTAGCAATAGTGATTTAAGCTAAGTTACCATCCACTTTCTGCCTCTTAGGGCTTTTATGCCTCCCTTTTATTGAAAAACATAAATTAAAAAAAATAATAATAAAAATCTTGGCACTTGTAGGAAAAGTACCTGACTGATTTTCTTCAGCTAAGCAGCCTGTCAGGTGGGCTGCTGTTAATTTTGTGCCAAAAGATGCAAAGATATAGTTTGCTGTGCAATACTAGTAAATTTCAAGTTAGTTCGGGATTCTGAATATTATCTTACTGTCCTACACACAGTCAAGAAATCTCTGAATTCCCTGAGAGGAGAGGAGGAATGTCAAAATTTATTTCTATGCAGAAACTTCTACAGAGAAGCGGTTCCCACCTTAACATCTCTTCCCAGGTCTGTTGGGTAGCTACGCCCTTTGACTTCTAAACTCTCTGTGTGGCGTTTTGACAAATAATAGCCACAGAAGAGTAGTTAAGTTGATGGTGTCTCCTTGCATCCATCTCTACCAGCTTCATTCTGCTTCAAATATTTTGAGGTGGCCTGTGAGAATCTTTTGTTTGCTTCCTCACTGAATTCCTTGGAGAAACTTATTCTGGATATGCAAGGTTACAGTTTGACAGCTGATTCTCAATAGCAGTGTGGTCTTAAAAGTAGTCCCTATCCCTTCAGTTATATTGACAATCTGAATAGAAAATAGGAGTTGAGGGTGTCAAATTTGATTTGGGTTACAGTGTGGCCTGACTGCTGGGTTGTGCTGGCACACCATGGGTTAGGATGGTAGAGCCGTACTGCTAAGAAACTGCAAAGCTTTCCCAAAAGGTGCAGTCTTATGAGCATTTTGTTGGCAACTGTGTTTGCTTAAATATCTGTTCTTCCCTCTGAAGTGTTGCTATATTTGATTATTATATGCAGTGAAGCAAATAAAGGAACTGATCCAATCCTAACCTAGGAAAGTAGTTATTAATGCAGATCAGTTCTCAAGTCTGGAGTGCCAGAAATACTTACAGGTTTGGAGGGTGGGCATAGACAGGAACTGACTGAGCTGTACTCAAAGGGAAAGTTCATGAATGTTGAGAAATACCAGTTTGTTCAGGTAGCTTAAGAGTGATCTGTGATTTTTAATGCTGATCTCTTGAGTTTTTTATGGGAAGGTATTGCTGCAAGTGTGGAACATGGTTTATTTCACTCCTGTTAACCAGTACATTTAAAGTACCTACATTGAAAATTCATCAGTTCGTACTTTAGAAATATCACTTATAAATTATCTGTAAAATTAACTATTTAAATAACTATGCAGTTGCTCCAGGGGCAAAAGGGCAAAAAGTACATCCTTGCCAGGATGCTAGCTAAGTAACTAAGATGTGATGCTGAAGTAGCATGAGACTTAATGCTACTGCTGCAGTTCCTGTCTTAAAATGACATTAGAAGAATTGTTTTGAGATGCTGCATCTGCAGTGCAGCAAGGGAGGCTAGAGGTGAAAGGACAGGAAATCTGTTACAGAAAACAGTATGAAAAAAACCCACCAATATAGATGACCCAACTTATGTGAACGGAAACTTAATAGAAATTAGTTGAGCTATGTAAGGAATGGATCCTAAAATATTTATCGTAAGGGTCTATGATGCATATAGTAAATGGGAAAATGAGTAAAGATGTCTGTATGCTTAAACAGAGGTAAGAAAACGGTATATTTCTATTCTGCCTTCTAAAACAGGACTGAAGGATTCTATGAGAAAACTGAAGTTAGTATTCTTGGTGTAGGGTACATTTTTTTTTCTTAGTCATCTCTCTTGTATGAGGAATGCCTATGGGGAGGTCTAATCTGATCAGTCATGTGAGGTTTTGTATGAGCTACGTATTTTCTCTAATATGGTGGATCTTCACTGTTGTGAATACTAGTGTTCTAAATGCTTCTCTATAATCCTGAGCCCTCTAATACATATAAAAGAGCAAACAAAGTCTAGAAGTTGGCTTAAACTATTGATGAGTAAGAAAAGAAAACTATTTAATATGCATGCTTGTTTCTATTCTAAATTATGTCTACAAAGCTTTATGTAGTGAAGATAGTATTAACTGAAGGTGTAATGTTCAAGGTTAGGTGTAAATACTCCAATTTTGAAGTCAGCTGACTTTTTATTTAATTGTATGCATGTATTTTTTACTTCCCTAATTTGTGATCTAAATAGTGTTAATAACACTTTCTTTAACAGTGAACTACCTCTTATGAAATAAAGAAATGGATGGGATGGATGAAACATCTAAAAGAATCCTAGAGCCATACCAGTATTTACTTCAACTACCAGGCAAGTTTCTTTTAACTGTGTTGTTCTTATAGCAACCTTGGTCTCAGAGCACAGGCCAGGATGTTTGTCTGTTCTTGATTTGTGGACTTAAGAGTCACTGTAAGTAACACTTTTCCATTATTATTTTTTTTTTCTTCCTCTGTAGAACCACCCTTTTTGGTGAGATTGGTACAATAGTTCCAGAGTCTGTCTGTTGCAGTGTAAGTAGTATTTCAGTGGCTCTGAATACGAGTAGCTGACTTACTACTTTTTAAAACTAGTAAGGGCAAGTACTGAAAACCAGGCCCTTGTTTTGGTCTTTATCTGCTTGCTGTATGGGACTCGAGAGGATGTGCTTTGTTGGCTTTTTTGTTTATTTTTTAAATAGCCTGTTTCTTTTGTGTAATTTCTTCTCCCTGGTATATGTAGAGCCAGGTGTTGTAATGGCAAATTTTGGCTGTCCGTGGATTGCTTCACTTACCAGAGGATCAAGCAGTCCTTGTGTGGTATAAGGTCACTAGCAACACACATTCAAATTAAGCTTTGAGTATCGAACAGTACCTATTGTAGCAGAATTCAGGAGGCAGTTTGATGAAGTACTGTATGGATATGCCTCTCAGAGGCATCTTTGCTGACTAAACAGATTGTTTTCAGTGGCTTTTGCTTGTATACCTGAAGCATAAGGAAGATCATACAAGAAAACTTTGTGAAAATAGCAATGGAACTAACTTGTCATTGCACTTATTGCATGATTGTCTTCTGTCCAGCTTTTATCGCATGCAGGTGGTGGTAGGGAAGACACAAAATATGGTAAAAATTAAGAAAAATAATTCTGATAAAATTTAGAAGACCTTTGGTCCAGGCAGGTAGCATAATGAATCAACAGGCACAGTATTAAGTGGCTTTGCATATCTTCAGCAAGACCTGTGGGTCGTAATTCATTATACTGATGTATAATGAATTTTGTTACTAATCTCTACAAGTATCCAGTATTGTCTTATCTACATTAGTGACTTCATTTGACTTGGCAGTTAATGCTACTTGAGTTAAAAATAAGAAGAGGAAAGAATTTGGCAGTAACATGCCTTTTTAATGCCAGAAAGTTTGTTTCTCATTTCCTCACAGTATATTGTATTTGGATATCTTGAACTGGGTGGTGGTTTTGCTAGTGAACTACCTCCAGAATGGTCCTGAAGAAATTTACTTTCCTCCAATACCATCTTTAAGTGAGCTTTTTGTTTGGTGAGGCTACCTTATATAACCAAGGTATGTTGTAACACCTCTGCATCTTTAGCTGCTGCTAAGTTTTTAAGATACTGTAGGTACCAGCAAAAAAAGCCCTGCTTCCTAGTAAGAAATACACAACAAAGTGCCTAAAAAACCCTTCCATGGATAGAAGTGCTTGACTAGCAGCTCTTCATTTTTCTTTCATTTCAGATGATGCAGCTAAGATACACACTTAACCTTCCCACCTTGACTGCTGTGGCTGAATTCCTATACTTTGTTGAGAGCTCAACCCTGATCACTCAATGCTGATGCATAATGTTACACTTACTGAGATTGCGAGCATTTTATATCTGGTCCTGCTAAAGTATCATAAATCTGTTTGTCCACTTTGACATGTTGGTATCTTGTTAATTTAGTTTGTTTTGGAGAAGATGAGAGAAAAGGTACACTTCTGTCTGTGCAGAAATGGTGGTGTGATTTAAGAAGATACTAGGCAGGTCTAAGTAGTGACCTGTGGAAAGCTTGTACTGAGTAAGAGGTGACATGGTGAGGATTCACAAACATATAGCTGGACACTTACTATTTTTGAATCTCTGTGGCTTAGCCCAAATTCAGCAATGACAACTGTAGATCAGGAGGAGCTAGTTGTGTGAACCTTGGGATCAGTATGAGCACTAATGGTTGGTGAGGGGGGAAAATTGGACATATGCTTGCTGTTCATAATTAGGGTGGAGCCCAAATTAGGTGCCTGAGCTAATCTAACAAGCTCTTGCTTGAAGAGAGTGCATTCTGTCTTCTTTATGCTTCTTGCAATATTCTCCTGCTTCTTTTGCCAGTTCTCATCTTAATAACCAAATTATTTGGTAGTATCAATCACTGGACCTGTTAAAACCTTGCCTGGTTTATCTTCTCGTGTCTTGTTGGTGAGCTGGCACAAGCATGGGGACAAGGAGCTGTTTCTGTGTTGAATCAGCTTGAGTTTTGAGGGGCTTTTTGCAGAAGGCTTGGCTGTGTCAAAATATGTATACTTACAGCTCTACAGTAGTCCAGTTGCTTTTAAGCTTAGTTAAAAAAAGAAACTTTCCAAACAGTTTAGTAACCTATGAGATCTTGAATAAATTTAGATACATATCAAACTTTGTTTATATAAAAAGGGATTGAGTAAAAGAATTAAGATTGGGAAGAAAATAGACAACACTAGCAGGCACCTAAGTGTAGTTGCCTAGTTGTAGTGTAAGAACACAAATTTTTAACTGTTAAGGATTAATCACTCGATACAAGAGGAAGTTGATTACTCTGTATGTCATTAGTGAAATACAACTTTTAATGGTGGCAGTTTGGGGGTGATACTTAAGCTAAGCTTGTATATTACTTTGAATTCAACAGTACTAGAATAGTGGAACTGCTAGGCTTAAGGTATTTTATTATTTTACCATTTTAACTGATGGTATGGTAATTAATGTTTATTCCTTCATTAGAAGAATTTATTACTTGGGAGAGCATGCATTCTGCAACAGTATCTTTTCTTGTAAGATCTCATTGTAGTAGAACATTGCCATACTGGTTTATAGCAGCATTCTGCTTAATCTAGTATTCTGTCCATTAGTCTCATAAACAAAGTGCAATAAGCAGGCTTAACTTTCACAAATTCCAATGTGATTTGTTTCAAAAATGGCCTGGTTCAGACAGATGGTTAATATTTTATCTCTGTGTGGCTGAGTTAACAGCAGTAGCTTTTTTTGCAGAACTAAGTAGTATATGGAGTTTTAGTTGTAGTAAAACTGGTATGTTCAACGGCTTGCTATTGAAAGGGGTAGATTCTGCTCCATTTATGACTGTGCATCTTCCCTTTCATGTTATTGTTCTGGTCTTGGCTGCAGTCTTTCCTGGGCTTGTTTAGCAAGCTGAACAATAAAGACTGGCTTTTGGGTTTTGCCTTTTTCGTCTGGGTTGTTGAACTTGACCGGCTTGGTGAAGGAGTTAAGTACCAAAGGGCATGATCTCTGACATAAGTACAACCAAACTTGGCACATCAGAAGCCTTAACTTGGGCCAAGGCTTTTCAGGCTCTGAGCTGCCTGGGGTTGCCAACTGGGCTGGAAGAAAGTGATGTCCCTGCCCCTAAAAGGTGTGCAGTGGTGGAAAATGTGTCACTAAGCAAAGAAGCAGTGGAAAAGGGTCAGCAGGCTGCACAACATCAGAAATAACAGAACAAGACTGGACAGGTTCAAGAACCTGAAACCTTCAGATATATTGATGGAGGGGCAGGAACAGTCTGTACATATCAGGTTGACAGCCAATTTAACATGAGCCAGCAGTGTGCCCAGGTGGCATCCTGGCCTACATCAGGAATGCATCAGTGTGGCCAGCAGGAGTAGAGAAGTGATTGTGCCCCTGTACTCAGCACTGGTGAGGCCACACCTCGAGTTCTGCGTGCAGTTCTGGGCCCCTCGCTATAAGAACGATGTCGAGTTGCTGGAGCATGTCCAGAGGAGAGCTATCAAACTGGTGAAAGGTCTGGAAAATAAGTCCTATCACCAGAGACTGAAGGAACTGGGATTGTTTAGTTTGAATAAGAGGAGGCTGAGGGGAGACCTCGTTGCTCTCTACAACTACCTGAAAGGAAGTTATAGGGAGGTGGGAGTTGGTCTCTTCTCCCAAGTGAATAATGACAGGACGAGAGGTAATGGCCTGAAGCTGTGCCAGGGGAGCCTTAGAATTAATATTAGAAATAATTTCTTTACCAGAAGTGGTTGGACAGTGGAACAGGCTGCCCAGGGAGGTGGTGGAGTTACCATCCCTGGAAGTGTTTAAAAGAATACAGATATTGGATGATTCTTCATAGAATTACAACCAATTAAAAAATAGCATACTTTTTAAAATCCCTTGTCAGTTTTTGGAGTATTGCTAGAAAATATGGTACAGGTATGTACCTTACTAAGTTTTTTAAAAGAGCCTGTTTTGTTGATTGGTTGGTTTGTTTGTTTGTGTTGGGGGGTTGTTGTTTTTTTGTTGGTGGTGGTGGTTTGGTTTTGTTCGCTTGTTTTTGAAAGGAGAGCAGTTGTAGCATTCAAGAATACACATGCTACGTGAGATGGAAGTTAATCATAATTTAGGGTGTTACCTGATCTTTATGAAGTAAACCTCCTTCCTAAGTGCAGTAGAGCAGAACTGATTGCATCCATTACAGTAATTTGTGTTTTACTCTAGGAGGTACTAAACTTCATAGACTTTCAATAGGTTCCAGGAAAGAAAAATCCACTTTGGACATAAATTGTACACTTGGCAGCTGAGGTAAGCTGAACATGGTTCCTGCTGGCTCAGTCAAAACAATATTCCTCTAGTAGAATTTTAAGTATCCCAGATGAACTGTGTTAAAAATTTAACTCTCACTGAAGGTGAGGGAATTGCCCTCTACTTATTAGTTCAACCATAAGACAACTTCACTATTTCAAAAAGACAAGTATGCATTTCTATTTCTGCAGAGCAAATATGGCTGTAAGAACTGTCACAACTTTTAATATGTAAATTGTTTTTCCTCAAGATCTTTTACTACAAGAGATTAAATAAAATCTGTAACTGTTGACAAACTAAGTTTCCATTGTTTTTAAAAACCTATGAAAGTAACCAAACTGTGACAGTTGAGATGACACTCCAAGGTTAGAAGGATGGGGTGGTAGCAAGGGCCCTCAGCCTGTTGCTTGGAGATATGCTGGATACACTGCAGCGCACTTGAGTCCTACAGAGATGAGCCAGAGGCTGCTGAGGTAATAGGATCCAGCAGGGAAGCACCAG